CCCTCTACTCTGCACTCCTGAGACCCCATTTGGAGTACTGTGTCCAGCTTTGGAGTCCTCAACGCAGGAAGGACATGGATCTGTTGGAACGGGTCCAGCGGAGGGCCACGAGGATGATCAGAGGGATGGAGCACCTCTCCTATGAAGACAGGCTGAGAGAGCTGGGGTTGTTCAGCCTGGAGAAGAGAAGGCTCCGGGGAGACCTTATAACGGCCTTTCAGTACCTGAAAGGAGCCTACAGAAGAGCTGGAGAGGGACTCTTTACAAAGAAGAGTAGCGACAGGACAAGGGGCAATGGTTTTAAACTGGTGGAGGGGAGATTTAGGTTAGATACTAGGAAGAAATTCTTTACAGTGAGGGTGGTGAGACACTGGAACAGGTTGCCCAGGGAGGTTGTGGATGCCCCATCACTGGAGGTGTTCAAGGCCAGGCTGGATGGGGCTTTGAGCAGCCTGGTCTGGTGGGAGGTGTCCCTGCCCAGGGCTGGGGGGTTGGAACTAGATGATCTTTAAGGTCCCTTCCAACCCAAACCATTCTATGATTCTATGATATGAATTTCTATTCAAAATTGATAAAGTGGAAGATTTTTGCCCTGTGTTCAAAGCTGGATATGAGAATGTTTAACGACATCTATGTCTGCAGTATATACCCTACAGAGTCTAAGAAACTCAGTTGGTAAATGGGCTGTTGGGAGCACACAATACAGACCTCTTCTCGCTTTTTAAAAAAGTTAAAAAGTTTAGAACCACAACGGAAATCTCAGTTTTTCAACTTTGCTTCCCTACAAACCTGCTCACTCCTTATTAATTCCTCATGGTAACTGCTACAGGCAAGAACAGAAAAAACACGTTGGTATTTAATGAAGATAAAAATCTGCAAGACACTTACAAAGTATATGACTTGAATCATTCAAGTCCTTCAACAAACCTCTCCCATTTCTTTCCAATTGCATATTTCTGCTTCCTTCTTTACTTGTTTACTTACCCTTTCATCTTTGTTGCTTTTTTCTGCCTTTTCTTTAATCTCTCTCATAATCTCATACACACCTGTCTACAAACAGCCCTCTGTATGGACTTTTCAATTCTTTACTGTTTCTTTTTACCTTGTTACACGTCCCATGAGGCTCTGACCCTACTCCTGTGTGTTCCTGACCACCACTTATAAATATTCAAAGCCCTTTCCCACCGTTGCTAGCGTTTCTTCCCTCATACTAGCATTCCTCAATGATATTTTTCACTTCAAAGATCTCCTCTGTCCTTCATATGCCTTGTTTCTTCCCTTGGCACTCATATTCACACATTACTACTCTCTTTCCCTACCAATTTCTTTCTTTACCTGTGTGGTCTCCCTCTCTCTTCCTCAAACACACTGACAAGCACACAGGTGCTCTTGTTCTCCACCACTGCTTTTCTTCTTCCTTCTTCCAATGGATATACAGGGTTAAAGGAAGGATGTAGCTGTATTTATGGCCCCTTGCTCTTCACAATAGCCACAGCAGTCCTGACAGGGCAGATGAATGACATTCCAGCTACAGTAACTTATCTATTTCCATTTCTGTTTCCATTTCTAATGGCAGACTCTACAAAATACACCAGCAAAAGCAGAGATAGCGCTCACTAAGAGCACAAACAAGAAGGAGGTCCCTGGGGAGAAGAGGAAAAAACAAAAGGGACAGTATAAAGTTAGTGAGTTAGTGTTACCTTACACCAAGCCCAGTGATTAATTCACAGAGTAATAAAAGGAAAGCAATTCCTGATGTACTAGAAGCAAAACAGTTTACTAGATCTCATAATACAATCCACTGCCCTAGGACTGCAGAGAGGAGAGCCATCATATTCTTGCCTACCAAACCTCTGCATGGAAGAGATTCCACACTCCCACTAAGTATCTTGTTCCAAATGCTACTCCCATCACATTTTAGAAAGTTTTGTCTAACATCGAGTATGAACTTTCTGAATAATTTAATTCATTCTTTCCTTCATCCCAAACCATGAAAGAATGAAATATCTCTGTTCTTTTCACAGCAACGCTTCCCATATAAAAGAGACCATTTACGCTTAGTCTTCTCAGAATAAATAAATAGCGTTCTTCCAATTTTTACACATTACTTTCAAATGTTTTAATGTTTTATTTTCCTCTGGACTATCCTTAGTTTGAGACCAAACACAGCTGGCTTCATCAGTCTCTAGCAGAAAAATAATTTGTCAGGTCAGATGCACTGCACACCTATTCATACACAATGAGGTTGTCCCATCTTTTTCTTTAACGGTATCACGTTGATGACTCATATTTACTTTATAGCCCATTACAGCCCCCAGATTCCTTCCTGAAGTGCTGCTGTTTCACCAGTATCCTTTTGCTTTTACTTTTTGATTTTTCTTCCCACTTGTAATTTGTATTTGTCAGTATTAAGTTTCCTCCTTATGGTTCCAAGATGTTTAATTTGTTAAGATCATTTTGACTTCCAATACTGGCCACCAAAGTGCTAAGAGGTCCTTTTAGCTTGCTGCCAGCTCAGTATCTCATGATTTCATTATCCACATCACCAACAATCTGAATTATAGAAAATGCCTTTAAGATCAAGCAGGTAATAGGAACAAAGTATATCAGATCAGGAATTCTGCTTAAATACTATTACTTTTGGTTAGGCAGAACATTTGGAGATAACCACCTAACTCTTAAGATATCAAATGTTGTAGAACCTTCCCCATTCTGACATCCTACTCCTAGGTGGAGTCAAAATAGTACACATCTAATCCACGACCGTTTTAATTTTGGCCATGGACCTCAACTATCCGAGTAAGGAGATTTCATCTGCCAGATATGTTATGTCTTTGTCATGATCAAGTATCTTTACATCTTTGTTAATAACCAAAAATAAGATAAATTTTCAAACCTCGGAATTATTAAATTGCTGCTTCTTTTTTTTTTTCAGGAAATTTGTTCCCCCCCCCTCCTTTTTTCCCCAAGATGTGTTATTGCAGTAGCTTGTCTCACTGGTCTTGTGGACCAGCCCACCTTCCTTCGGGTGGATAACATACCAAAGGGCTGCATAAAACGTTGCAATAACCGTAAAATTGTGAGAAACACTGACTCACATCTTAGAATTTAAAGAGGACAATGTCACCAAAGCAAAGGTTAAAAAAAAATTGATTAATATGAAACAGTGCTGGATCGGGTGCACCAAAAACAGATGCACGCTGATTTTTCAGCTTTCAGGTATTTTATACCCTTATCCCAGCCGCCTGGGTTTCTGTTTCTCTTCTCATGGCTGAGACGTTGGAGCTCACATTCTTCCCAACCGTCTGAATTATTACAGGTTTAGTTCACACTTTTTCCCATGTAAGGCACACACCCCCCTATTCTATGAAATCATTACCCTTTGAATAGTTGATTACGCTACACGTTATTTCACAGTCTTTGCTACCATCTACTTGGCAGATTTACCGTCCAAGACTGGTTTCTTTGGCCTTATTGATACCCCGCTGTGCTCTGGGTTCCTGTGTCGAAGGCCGTGTTCCAGTTTGTTTCTCTTCCCCTAGATAACGCTCTGTCAACAAGGATCCTTTGACAGACCAAGGGCATTTCTGGGAATTAACTGGGTAAAATTTATTAGACTCTACTATTACTAAGACTCCTTTGTTAGTACTGACACACTAACAAGAATATATCAATTAGCTGAAGCAAAACTGAGCTCATTTCCCACAACATCACCACAAGAGCAGTTTATCTGCCATAACCACAAGGCCTTTTGAACATCAGCATGAAGTCTGCCTACCGCTATAGGCAATTTACACGTCGTTTTCCCTTCAATATACGACGGTATGTTTGAACGCGTTCAAATAAGGCTTCTTCTCCTCAGCTCAGTTCCCAAATTTTTGGCCTGGCTGGTTTGTACCGCTGCCAACCGCGCCCTCAGGCCCTGCGAGCTTCTGTCAGCGACCAACTGCGGATCCCCCTCCCCGCCGCCGAGGAACAAACGGCAGGGGGGACACCTCAGCGACCCCGCCAAGGGCGGCATTCCCCTCAGCGCCATCCACCTCCCCGCCTCGGTCACCGCTTCAATTTGCCGCCCTCCCCAGGCGCTCCTCCCTCCCCGCCGTTCACCGGCGCCACGGCCCCGGCGTGCCCGGCCCAACCGGGGGGCTGGGAGGAGCCGCGGGTCCCCGGCTCCTCAGCGGCGGCAGGGGGGACGCCGGGGCTTAAGGGACAGCCAACCCCCACCGGCCTCTTCTCCGGGAGGAGGGGTGGGCCTCCTCCCGCCCCGCTCGAGCCCTTGCGCGGCTGCTTCGGTACGTTCGGTGTGAGGAAGGGCCGGGCTCCCCTCACGGGCGGCCGCAGCGCGGCGGGGCCGGGCGGCGGGTCCCGTCGCCTTTAAGAGGGGCTGCGGGGCGGGGCTCGGCTGAACATTCTGGAGTGGAGGGGAGCGGCGGGGGGCTAGCCGAGCCGAGCCGAGTGGAGCCGAGCCGAGTGGAGCCGAGCCGAGTGGAGCCGAGCCGA